AAAGCTGTAGTGGATCTACTAAGAGGGCACTCCTACAGGTATGGGAACGTAATGGGATTGATGGACGAAGCCAGGTGCAGATTCTGTCAATGTGAAGAAGAAACGACAGAACACATTTTAAGTCGGTTTCTGTAATAGCCAATGATAGGCCATTGACAAAGAACTCTATATTAAAAAAATAAAAGAATAGAACTGGAGAATGTAACCTAAGGATCAGAAGAGGACCGTTATAGATCTGAAAAGGTCGCAGTGGATCAGGTCACCTTGAAGAATCTAATCTAATCCACTCAGTCATCCAATGTATAACATTGTTTTTGAAACATTTCTGTAAAGCCTTTTTTATAAATTTTCTGCATTAATTCATGTTTTGTTTGTAATACAACGCAAATAATTAATATAATATAATTATAAAATAATATAATTGTATGCTATTGTTCAAGAACTTTGCTTAACTTTGCTACTTAAAATGTATGTTTCTATTTATATTATAATTTTTGTTTGTTTATTATTTTTCGTATAAAGGCGGACTCTGAGAACTCGTGTACTTGGCAAATATTTTTTATTAACGTACAGTTTAGAAATTCTGTATAGATCACCGATGCACCCTCTATATCCTGTGTATACCAATTACAAATGTTTGTCAAGTACACGAGTCGTCTGAGCGCCCCATAATGGAAATAGGTACTCATATTTGTTAAATATCTGATAAAACTAAATACATTTCAAATAACAAAAAAAATAGAAAAGGTAAATATATATGTCTGTGTTAAAAAATATACCAAAGATAATTTTATTGGTTTTCAATCTGTTAAAAATATGGTTTATTATTAATAGGTATGTCTGTACGGAATTTTTCTAGTGGGACTATTATGTATAATACAATCTAAAAAACCGCATAGAGTTGGCATGGAGATGTATATCCAGTCAGTTTATATTTAAAATTATATAGTAAATGTCATTGCTTGTCATTTCCAAGCCAACTTGACGCCGTTTTTACTGGATCATATGCTATTATTTTTAATTATAAGTTAACTTATTCTGGAGTTCCTGATGTACATTTTTTTTAAATAAATAGAATTTCTTATCAGAAATTTGGCAATTTTGGCGAAGGAATTTTAATATTATCTTGGGGAAGGCAATACAGTATTAATCAAAGCGTTGGCTTCTGACTCTATTAAAATTCGTGTTTTATTTGTTAAGTTTTAACTTAATTTCTTCTAATTCTGTAGGTATCTAGAATATAATATGAGACCTAACATTGTGATGTAATGATAACTATTGTGTAATAACTTTAATTTGTATTTTGTATAATAAATCTTCGACCATGTCACTCATCTTTCATTAACTATTAGTCTATAATACATTATTCCTAATATATGTTTTGTATTTTGTTGTGTTAGGTCTAATTATATAAATATTTCTTTTTTTAATGCATTTTAAAATAAATGTCGTCATTAATACATTGTACTATTTTTAATATTAAAGTAGTGTTGAAAAATAAGTCCTGTAGATTATTTAATTAGACCCTTGTCCTTTTCTTTTTTTACCTCCCACCTATGTTTTATTTTATTTAAATAACATTAATATTATAAATTATCAGTATGCATATTTATTAAATTTGTAAACCTTTTTTAAATAGGTATATTTTCATGTAATTTGTTTTGTGAATAAATAATAAATAAAGTATAATTTTTATGAAACTATATGTGGAAATGTTTAAAATGTGAATAAGCAATGTAAGAAAATAGATATATATTAAAAAGCACTAAAAATGAGCTCTTCATGTCTCCATTTTTTTGAAAAGATTTTGTGTTCCAACACATTCATTGTGAATTTCAAATTAAGTAAGTGTTATAAAGTTTTTTTAATGTTTTTAACTAAACCGGGTTATCCAAATCTATTAGTCCACGTTCTAGAGCAAGCTCTTTAAATTTAGTAAACAGAAAAACACATTTACTCTATTTCAGCCCACTCCAATCATTAACAAAAGCGAAAAATATGCAGATACAGTGCATTTTCATAGTAATAATATTCCCTTAACATTTCATTACTCATTCGCTTTTCTTTTTTAAGTTAAAACACATATTTTATCGCCATGTAGTACCGCTATAACATACCGTACCACTAACATTTAGAAAGAAGCTGCCAGTTTAAACAAGGAATCGCCACCTTACGATTTACACATTTATTTTAAATTACCCTGAATGTAAAGAGAAAGAAAATAACAAATCCTCAATTTTATAGTATATAAGTTAAGTCTGTGAATATAATATGTAAATCTTACAGTAATGTAGGTAAATTATCTACATTCTATCTTTAGCATACACCAAGAACAACCAACCACTAAAAAATTTAACTTCAATAAAAAATAATAATAACATTTGTTGGATTCTATCCCTTCCTCCCATCCTTTACCCGAAAAACCTTAGTGGGTACGTAGCCGTAGTCGAATACGAGAGAGAGACAAGATCGGCCGAGTACACAGTGTACACCTCCAAGCGCGCGCTATCCTCAAGTGTTTTTGTTCAAGCAAAGAAATCCAAGCAGGTACAGAAGAGTCCAGAACGGGAATAAAGGTGAGTGCCCACAGTCCTGATACATTAACTCACCTTAATGAACTGAGCCCATTAATTCTCGCCCGTAACATTGTTCCTTCCGCCGCAGATCCCTTTCTGAACTACATACATATCTTACTTATACTCAATTAAATTGAGTTATCATAATTAATTTCTCAAAACTATCTAAATGTCCATTAATATTTTTGTAATATATTATTTTAAATATATTCAATAAAATAAATTCTCGAACAAAATCTATATTTATCTTCTCTTTAACGCAGTAAAAAGGTGGTACATTTTTTGTCACTGGTTCCACTAGCCAGGAATTTGCCACCGACCGATCGATTTTAAATTGCCGTACCGGTGTTAAAAGCGATATCTAGCGCTGTTTCGCGATACTGGTCCGGATATTTCTTTTTCACGCTCAAATTTATCGATACGCATTTAGTCTCAACTCTGGTCTGTTCTATACTCTCTCTCTTAATAGATTTTAATTTTTAATTAATAAAATAATAATTATTATTATAATATATAATTAATTTTAATTAAAAATAATAATTTATTTTCTCTCTCTCTCTCTCTCACACACACACATACACTCTCTCAGTGAATTATTCTATTTCTCTCTTACTCTCTTAGTTAATTACTCTCTCTCTATCTCTCTCTCTCTCTCTCTCTCAGTTTACTTATTATATTCTATAATGTATTTTATTTTCTCACCTTATAAAGTGAAAATGTAATAATTATTTTCTCATATAATATTATTCATTGTAGAATATATCATTTCTCTCTCTCTCTCTCTCTCTCTCTCTCTCTCAGTTAATTGTATATTCTATAATATTTTATTTTTTTTTTTTTTTTTTTTTAAAATATATAATAATTGTTTCTCATATAATATTCTATTGTAGAATATATCATTCTCTCTCTCTCTCTCAGTTAATTATTATATTCTATAATATTTTATTTTCTCACCTTATAAAATTAAAAATATAATGAGTATTTTCTCATATAATATTTTGTTAGCTAGAATATCTCTCTCTCTCTCTCTCTCTCAGTTAATTATTATATTCTATAATATTTTATTTTCTCACATTATAGCATTCCATTTTCTCTACTTACGCTCTAGTGAGATTTTTATAATTTTCGTTATGTCTGCAGACGCTCGCAAATTAAAAACTCTTATAGCTCAACGCTCTGTAGAACTTACTAAAATTAAAGAACTTAAAAAATCCGCTGATCAAGCTCTTGAAGATCAAATTTTCACTAACTTTAGATGTAGACAAAACACTTAGAGATATTGCCAGAGCTTTTGATGAATTCATAATATAATTTTATTGGTTTCCACTTTTGGGATAATGGCGATATTGATCCTCATGTCAATTCAAACTGAATTTGATAGTTATTATTTTCACATTGAAGCATTATTCACAAATTTATCATTCCACCAAACGAAATCGTAGCTGGATACTACACAATTACAAAACACTACTGCTCAATGTTCGGTAAAACTTCCTAAAATTGAGGTACACCATTTTGATGGTGAATTTAAACATTGGCAAACATTTATCGTTATGTTTGATTCTCTTATACACTGTAACTCGTCTCTTAGTGATATATCGAAATACAACTATCTAGTGAGTTTCTTACGAGGTCCTCCTTTAGCTTTTGTATCTAGTACTCCACTTGCCAATCAAAGGAATTATATTATAGCATATCAAGCCTTAAAAATAAATACGATAAGAAACGTTTGATTGCAAAAGCTCACTGGCAGGCTCTAGAGAATATTAAGCCCATCTCTAGCAGAAAATAATCATGAAGCTCTAAGAAATATGATTGATATTTATACTCGTAATATTACAATTTTAAATGCTTGGGTTTTCCACAGAGGTAAGGTTTTGTGCTATTTAATATGATTTATGATAGACTTCTAGAAATTTTGCAAACTAATTTTGAACTGGAATGTGGCTCTGTTTTATCACAAGATATGCTATACCTCAAATCCTTTTAGATACACTCATTTGAATTTCTTAGAGAAGAAGAAGTAATGTTCAGCCCCAAGATACAATCCTACTCCTAACTAAATCGTTTTTTCTCATTTTAATAAAATGGTAATTATGACAAAACTAAAACGAAGTATTCACAAAGAGTTAAAAATAATCCTACCTCTTCCTTTGTTGTCAACACTCAGTTTAGAAACAAAATTTAACTTAATCAAGTTTGTAACAAAGGATCATTTTATTTATAACTGTAAATTTTATTGCTTTTACTCCAAAACAGAGATATGATTTAATTAAATCCCGAAGTTGGTGCTCAAACTGTCTCGGCACTAGACATTCTTCTAAGAGTTGTAATTCTCGTTCCTCATGCCGAACTTGTGGCAAAAACATCATTCGCTTTACATTTCGGTCAAATAACAATCTCCATGTAAAACGTTCATACATCATGCCAAAACTCTTGAGTTCTGCAAGCAAAGCAGCTCTATCTCAAGAAGTTGTATCTACAAATTTATTTGCAAAACATAAGAATAAAGCTCTTCTTTCTACAGCATTAATCAATGTTCAAGATGCGTGGGGTAATTTTCATGTAATACGGGCTGTAATTGACAGTGGAAGTGAGAGTCACTTTATTTCAAAATCTTGTTTTAATAAATTAGGTTTATCTAAATTTTTCCTCCCCATCCAATTGTGTGGCATCGGGAAAAATATTTCCAAAGGTTCTCACGGTGTTAGATGCAACATTAAACCTATTGGAAAGTCTGATCCGATCTACTCCTTGGAGTTTATTATATTAAATGAAATTAGTGATAATTTACCGATTAATTCTCTTCCCGTTGAACAGTTCTCAAAGTTTTCTCAATTGCCTTTAGCTGATCCCAACTTTCACCTCTCTAAACCCGTAGATATACTTTTGGGTGCAGATATTTATGGTTTCTTGATAACAGGAAACAAACTCCTCTCAGATCAAGATCAACCCGTCGCTTTAGAAACTATATTTGGATGGATAATTACAGGAAGAGTTAAAACATCTAGTGTTTCACTCTCTGTAAACTCATACTTTCTTACCTCTTATGCTTCCTTGGATCAATCACTTCAAAGATTCTAGGAGTTAGAGGACGTTCCACAATCCTCGACGCTTTCTTCAGATGAAAAGCTTGCCGAAGAACACTTTTGTAAAACATTTTCACGCACTCTTTCTGGACGTTATAAAGTATCTTTACCATTTAAAACTTTGGAACCGATCTTTGAAGGTTCTAGAGATGTCGCCATTCGTAGATTTTTCTCGCTCGAAAAACGATTGCTTCGAAACCCCCAATTGTATTCTCAATATTCTAATTACTTGCGTGAATATTTAGATTCTCAATATATGATTGCCGTGCAAAATCCTTCTCCCAACGCTCATTCTTATTATCTGCATCATCATTGCGTAATCCGATAAGATAGTCTCACGACCAAACTTAGAGTTGTCTTTGATGCTTCCTCTCGAGATTACACAAATAAATCTTTAGATGACACTCTCTCTTAACTGGGCCAAAATTACAGTCAGATATTTTATTATTTTACTTCGATTTTAGATCTCATTTGATTGTATTTGCTAGCGATATTAAACAAATGTTTTGTCAAATTCTTGTTAATGAAAATCATACTGAATACCTCAAAATTTTATGGCGATTTAACGCTAATGAGCCCATTCAAGAATACAAACTTACTCGCGTTACTTTTGGTTTAAGCTGTAGCCCATTTTTAGCCATTCGAGTTATAAAACAAATTGCTTTAGAAAATTTAGTAAAATCCCGAAGCATAAAAGATTTTAGATATGGATACGTATGTCGATGATATTATATCTGGTTGCGATTCTCTTTCTCTTGCTATAAAAATTCAACGCGATCTCATTTCTATACTCAAACACAGCGGTTTTGAACTTAGAAAATGGACTTAGAATAGCTCAGATTTTCTTTCTCAGTTATCTCCAAATGAATGCAAAATGGATTCTTCTCTCTCTTTAAATATAAAATTCTCTTTCTTCCTCTAAAGTTCTAGGACTAAACTGGAATCCCTCTACAGATGAATTTTTCTTTTGATTCACCAGTGTTGTCCTTGACAAACAAAATTTGTAACAAACGCAATATTCTTTCACAACTCGCAAGCATATTCGATCCTTGTGGCATGTTGGTTCCTCTCTCTCTTCACCTAAAACTGATTATACAAGATTTGTGGAAGTTAGGTATAAATTGGGATGATCCTGCTCCCAATAACATTGCTACATCTTGGTATCAACTCGTTCAAGAATTACCTTGTATTTTCTCTCTCAAAGTTCCTCGATATTTTCTCACTCTCAAATATTTATCCCTGGAAGTACATGGTTTTTGTGATGCTAGTGAAAAAGGCTATTGTGCAGTAATTTATTTTAGGATAATTCTTCCAGATAACTCTGTAAAAACAAATTTTGTCTGCGCTAAAGGCAAAGTAGCTCCACTCAAAAAAATCTCAGTTCCAAGACTGGAACTCTGCAGCCTTACTTCTGACCAGGTTAGTTGATTTCGTTAGAACTTCTCTTTCTAATAAACTTATTAATGTTAGTACGATTGCATGGTCCGACTCGATGGTTGTTTTGCATTGGCTTAAAAGTGAACCATATAAGTGGAACACCTTTGCTTAAGCAATACAGAGTTTCCCAAATTCAAGAAATTACCTCCCTTCTTATTTGGCGTCATGTAGTCTCAAAAGACAACCCCGCTGATCCAAGTTCTCGTGGTCTTCAACCTAGTGAGTTACTCGACAATGCCTTATGGTGGGCGGGACCTCCATGGCTAAGCCAACCGGAATCTTATTGGCCACAATCAATTTTTACTTTCCCTGAAATTGAAGAAGAACAACGAAAAGTTATATTGACATGTACTTCACAGCCCTCATTGTTTGATACTCTCTTTGAAAAGTTCTCTTCTTTCTAAAATTATAAATGTGTCACGTTTTGCAGACGCTTTCTCTATAATACTCGACATTCTAAATCTCGTAAAACCTCTCCTCTCTCGAAATTTGAAATAAATGAAACTCTAGAATGTATTATTAAATGTGTTCAATCACAATATTATGCTAGGAAAATTCTCTTAATAAATAATTGCAAATCTCTACCTAAATTCTTAAGAAAATTGACCCCCTTTCTCGACACCAATGGAATTCTTAGGGTTGGTGGTCGCTTGCGCATTGCTTCTCTAAATTTCTCTCAAAAACATCCGCACTCTTACCCAATAATCTTAAATTTACTACTCTACTCATAGAATATACTCATAAGCTCTATTTGCATCCCGGTCCCCAAACTCTTCACCATATTCTCGCTCAACAATGCTGGATTGTTTCTGCTAGAAAAACAATTCGTAGTGTTCTCTTTAAATGTCCTCAATGCTTTCGCGCTAATCCAGTAATGCCTCAGCCTCCTATTATGGGAGATATTCCTGCTGTAAGACTTTCTCAAGTAAAACCTTTCTCTGAAGTTGGATGCGACTATGGTGGTCCATTCTCTTTATTAAGATATCGTGCACGGGGTGCTAAGTCCTGTAAAGCCTATATTTGCTTATTTGTGTGCATGGCCACGAAAGCTTTGCATTTAGAACTGGTTTCCGACCTTTCCTCCGAGGCTTTTCTGGGTGCACTGCGTCGGTTCATTTCTCGTAGAGGTCGCTGCAATCATATTTATTCCGATTGTGGCACGAACTTTGTTGGAGCTTCTAGAGAACTGATTAATATGCTAAAATCCGACGCTGAGCAAGAACAAATTTCCTGGCGCTTCAATCCTCCAAGCGCGCCTCATTTTGGTGGCCTGTGGGAAGCAGGAATAAAGTCTGTAAAAACTCACATTAAAAGGGTTATTGGTGATCAATTGCTCACGTATGAGGAATTTTATACGCTACTGGTTCAAATAGAAGCAGTGCTTAATTCTCGTCCATTGTGTCCACAAAGCTCTGATCCTAATGACTTGTCAGTTCTTACTCCAGGACATTTTTAACCCTAGAGCCGTTAAACGCCCCTCCGGAAGATGATCTTTCCGGGATAAAATTAAATCATCTCTCTCGCTGGCAGTTGATGTCACGGATTTTTAAAGCTTTTGGAGCCGATGGTCTAAAGAATACCTTCAAACACTTTTACAAAGAGCTAAATGGAATGACTCTACTATTCCAATAGAAATAAACTCCGTTGTTTTAATAGGGATGATAATCTTATTCCGCTCAAATGGAGCATTGGAAGAGTCTTTGAGATTCACCCGGGCCATGATCGTGTTACAAGCGTGGTTACTTTAAAAACAGCAAAGGCATTCTTAAAAGACCAGTGACAAAGATATGCCACTGCCTTACCAAATCTCATAATTAAAATTTACTCTCTAAAAACATAATCATAAAACATAATCCCGCAAAAAAAACATAATCTCATTATAAACATAATTAACATCTCTTATTTAATTACTTTTCTCTACTCTATAACAAATTTAAAAAAAAACTCTCTTAATATTTAATTAAATTACACTCATGCATTAACCCCAATAGTACATTTTTTTCTAAATTTCCTCTAAATTTAACTTCATAAATTTCACTCTTACTTTCTTTTAAACATAACGCATTTTTCACTTTTTTTTATTTTGCTACTATTTCAAACGAAAGGAAATGGAAAATATTTCATTTTGGTGGGCGGTATGTTGGATTCTATCCCTTCCTTCCATCCTTTACCCGAAAAACCTTAGTGGGTACGTAGCCGTAGTCGAATACGAGAGAGAGACAAGATCGGCCGAGTACACAGTGTACACCTTCAAGCGCGCGCTATCCTCAAGTGTTTTGTTCAAGCAAAATCAACAGGTGCAATGAGTCCAGAACGGGGATAAAGGTGAGTGCCCACAGTCCTGATACATTAACTCACCTTAATGAACTGAGCCCCTTAATTCTCGCCCGTAGCAACATTTATGCTGCAACAATAATTTAATATGTTTTTGTACAGTAGTTATGAACCCTTTATTCGAGATAATGACCATGTTAGCAGAAAAACTTAATACAATTTATGTTTTTCAAGACATTACAAGACTTTTATCTGTTGTCTGTTTTAAATGAAATATAGTCTTTTTTTTTATTGTCGATTAAAACAATATTTTTTGTATTAATTAACGATAACCCAACATAAAACTATTAATTAATACTTGTCGCTAAAAATTGTATACAATTAAATTTTTTCTATGAATATCAAAAAAAAAATCGTTACGCCTATGTGCGGTTCGTGCCTATCATTCATAAAGTAGGGGGCGATACGATATCACGTGGATGTTAACATGTTGTTCCCCCACTTTTACCTCACCTTAACCCCGCAGCCCATCGTTCGGCGTTGACGTCACAGTGATAGAATGGGAATTTTCAAACTTATGGCTGGGCTAAACAAATAGGGTGTTTATGAATGACTTGTTTTCTCTATATTTATTTTAACCTCTATGTATCAACTACTGCATTTAATAAAGTTGCAATTTTGCCGCGGCAAGCAATAAAAATCGGCGCACACATGTGCGACAACCATATAAATTCGGAAATGTTGCTCAACAGACGGCGTCCTGGGGAGAACAAGACGATGAATTTTCTAATAACGACCAATCGACACCGCGCTGCAGCCATACACCATCGCCAGTTGTTGTTAAGGAGCTCCATTTTGACCTTATTTGGTAACTAGAGTATACCGGCGTTCGACTGTCATCAAACGGCAAACGGTAGGTACCATGATTGAAATAGTAATGCATTTGCAATACATTTTAGAGGATTTTATGATGAGTAATTGATTTTTTTTCATTATGTTAACTCCCGAGAAAGAATATAGTGACGACAATGTCAATGTCTCAATTGCGCGGATTGTTGTTCTCCATTCCGGTTTATCTTGCGTCGCTAGAGAATTTTTTTCCAGACCATGATCAATAATTTCTTTAGTCTGGTCCACCTAGCGCGTCGGAGAGAAGTCTATTGGTCGTTTACCATTAATTTTTCCTTCGATGATGAGTTTTTCCAGTCCATCTGTTCTTCTCGAAATGTGTCCATAGTATCTAACGATTGATTTGTTTTGATTGAAAGTCTTGTGGTGATTTCA